AGTGCTTTTGAGCATCACTTTGCAAGTCCACTGGTTTGGCAGTTTAGAGCATTAAGATAGAATTAAGTTGATTTTTGACAGCTTTTGGATTTTTACTGTGCATTTATACACAGCTGCTCTCTCCAGAATGTTTAATTGTTATTCTCAAGGTAGCCAAGTTTATTGTTACTACTCTGTGCCATGTATGGTAGTTCAACAATCATTGCTGTTTCATTTCAGTAACACCAGAATTAATGATAAGAAATGTGGATTGTGATAATATATTAACATTACTTTATTTTGCAAATAACTGTTGAACTAGAGTACTGTTCATATTTTACAGTCTGAGTTTTACTGCTGGCTTACTTAATGGCAGAGTTAAAGTTCTTTGCATTTCCATAAATTTTCTTCCTTTTGAAAAGAAGTTCAGCCGTTCTAAGTGTCACTCTGGGTTTTATGGTGTCTGTTTATGCTTTTTTTTCCTTCCAAAATTGTAACTATTTTATATTAAAAGAAAAGGCTTTGATTAGCAGATTTTTCAGAATATTAGTTAGGAAGGTTTTGTCACTCAGTGAGAAATCAATTGTGTTAGGCAGGTTCTTTAGGAGAACCCTGAGACAGAGTCAGCCTCTAAGTTCAGCATAAAAATAATTTCTCTTTAACTGCAGTCAACTATCTTGATTTTCTTGTATGTATCCTTTTATTTCTTTTTCGTATAATTTCTCTCTTTGTGTTTTAACATATTCTTTCACCTAAAACTCAGGTCCAACAGCTGTTTCTTCTTCAGTGATGGAGCTTCACTTTGTTCTCATGCAAATTTTGCCAATGCTGCATCAGGAATTGTCACAGTGTTCAATGTCAATATATAGTGAGGTCAAATACTCTTCTCTGGGCATGTCAGCCTCACTCTTGAGTGGATTCAGAGGTCTCCCAACAGCAGAAGAGATGTTGCTTCAGCACACAAAGCTGCCGTTTTCATGGCATCATCCCGAGGTTTGCTTGCCTGTGTATCACACACTTGTACCTCACAGGTCTTTAGACTGGTGTTCAGACAGGGAGGCTCCCCAGGACAGGAGAACCTGCCCCTTTGCACAGCTCCTCACTGTTCAGATATTGTAAGTGCTTTGTGGATTCTTTGTCTTCTGTCTCACCAAGGATCCTTTCAAGCCTTTATTTATCTCTTTGCTTTTTTTTTTCTGTGGGGACAAGGGGCAAGGCCTTTGTCTCACTTGTCTTCTTCCTGTACTTTTAACTAGGTTTTTTTGGTAAACACACTGGAAAGTTTTGGAATCTCCCACATGGTGCATGCTGTCGCAGAGCAGAGGTGTATGGATTTATCTATATTTCATACCAGCTGTGAGATTGCTGGCAATTACAGAAGCCTGGCTTCAATGACACAGCCAGTCCTGCATTCCCTCTTCCCTGGGGAAAACAGGGAGCCAGAAAACAGGACTGGATCCATCCCCCTCAACCTTGAATGTCCCAGCAGACAACTGCAACATACACCACCGGCAAAAGGATTTTAGCTGGAACTTAACAACTATGCAGAAACTGCTTTTCATGGTATTTGCTTCACCACCTGCCTCTGTTCCACTGAGCCCCTCAATTAAAACAGCTTTTCTCTACTGACAGCCTCTGAGGATCTCTGCTCAGCAGAGCTCTGTGTCTCTGTCTTTCCCTCAGTACAAGTTCTGAACCCACAGGAGATTCTTTGGCATTTGGAGTCCTGTCAGAGTCTGGGCTCCTGTGCCATTTTTCAGAAAATGGGATGTGAGAATAAAGGCAGGCTGATAAAGGGTGTATCTGAAAGGAGGGAATTTTTGGGGACAGGATGATGATTCTGAATAGTGTGGGAGAGCCTGAGATTTTGCTAGTAATTTGGCTAGCACTTCAAAGTTTGTGAGACTTCCTGCAGACTTTCCATGAGCCACCGTGATCCATCCCTACACTACCTTAAAGTGCTCCTGGTCATCGTGATATTCTCAATTTACCGGTGGTCATCCTCACAAATTTGCCTCACATGATTACTCTCATCTATTGGGTCTTGACAAGATTGACTAAAGAAAACGAATTCATAATATCTTTATATGAACAAGGAGAACGTGAAAATTTGCCCCATAATTCACTTACTGACTATGCTTTTTTCCAAGTTTTGCAGAGGACTTGAGGAAAGCTTAAATTTCACTAAAAATATTAACAATGATTATGATAATGTGCTAGACAGACCCTACCTATGCAGAAGGTCTGAAGGACATTCCATGCATTTTTTTAGGGAATAGAGAATAGTTCTGAGTATCTGTAAAGATGAATTAAAGCTTCTTGCATCTTCATCACTACGTTTTTAATGAATAATTGGTTAGTGTGGCAGCAGCTAGTGAATTTAGTTTAGAATTCAGTTTAGAATCAGAGTTACAACAGAATGACTATATAAATATATTTCACCTTGTCATATGAATACCAGAAAAACCTCACTCTATTTTCAACATGTCTGTATACAACAGTGAGAATTGCATGTTGTAGTTGCCCTTTTCATAGCAAAGTGCAAGTTTCCCACTTCAACACAAGCCCAAGTCCCCACTATAAACTACAGTATTGGAACTAAGGTAAGATCCTACATACTGCACCTCTATCAAAATCAATCATTCTCAGCAAAGAAATAGGAAATTCTCTATTTAAAAAGGCTTTTTCACGCTTGTCCCTTGATAAAAGAGATGTGGAAAAAAATGTCTCTGAAGAAATGCTGTCTTTAAATAAAATCTTTTCCCCAGTATGGTCACTATGAAAACTTCTGGACTTACAGCTCTAAGAACTGTCATCTGTCTGTTAGATTACAGAGCATTGAGCATTATTTCTTGTAAATGATTCAACCCTGGCCTGAGCGTAGTTTGGTTTCCACCTAGACTCACATCCAAGCATCTCAGAGGGGAGAGCCAGTAGTGCTAATTGGTGGACTAATTTTGCAACATTGATTACCGTCTGCTAGGAAAGGGATCAAGCCCACCACCTGATTTTCCACAGATCACCAAACAACTGAGTGATGATAACAACTTAGTCCTTGCCAAACTATGCAGATGGAGTTCAACCACTGAGTGTTCCAAACCCTTTAGCCATCTGTTCCCTACTTCTGAGTATTTCCACAACAACAAAAAACTCTCAAAAGCCCCAAATATTACCTTTTATAATCGATAAACCATGAAATTACTGTTCTGATCCTACATAGGTACTGCAAAATTACACCGCGAATAGCAAATGGAAGAAAAATTTTGAGCTTTTTGTGATAATAACAAGAAGATCTTTTCTTCCACGTTATACTACATATGTCTACAAGTTCATGAGCAGAATTGGAGCAGCCAGCTCATCCTAGGCTACTCATTTTCATCTGTTCTCCAACTTGTGTTCCAGTGCCTATTGATCCTCTGCTGTAGGTGGTAGTGGAGTAGTGGGCAGAGTGTCAGTAGTCACCCAAAATTAATTGGAACCAGAAATAACAGCAAAAACACTTGTCCAGTCTACATTTCATTTCCACATTGACAAATCTGTGGGAGCCCTACTGGACGTAGATGACAGAGAAAAAATTGCAAAAAAATTTATTTTTCCCCATGCTGCATAGAAAAGTAACAATCAAAGAATTGTGCTCTTTGCATTTTGTCAGTGTTTCAAAATCTGCTTGACTTGCTCTGCTTTTTCTGAGCCTAATTTTTTTTACCCCTGATATTAATGGGGCTTTTACACAAAAAAAATTCTTAGTTAGGAATTAAAAACACTTACTATCAAATACTATTTATAAATATCAGAAACTGAAATTCTGCTTTAACAAAAAAAGTACTTTATTTTACCAATAGGCAAATTAATACTAATTTCTCCCAGAAAAAGACCATTAAACCAGATATTAATTTTAAATAACAGTGTTGATGTGGTATCAAGCAACAATAATGGTAAAACCCTAAAATTTCAATTCCTGGAAGAGTTGTAGAAACACAGCAAGCAGACCTATACAGAACAGCATTATGAAGGACATTAGGGCCTACATAGGCAAAAGATATAGACCATTATCCTTAGGTGCTTACATATGGTTTTTCATCACCATCGTGATCAGATTCACAATTTTATATTTTAGACTGAGAAAAGTTAAAGCCATACAGTAAAGCCATTAAGTTCTTGCTCACCCTGTAAAGAGTGGTTATTTCATGAAATATGGCACCACATTGAAAATCTCTAGTTAAAGAAAAATTATCATAAATGATCATGTAAACATTTAAAGGAAAATTAGTTTAAAAAATTGCATGTTTTTCTCAGTAGATTCTCTTTCTAATGGTAACTCAAAGTATGTAGCAATATTTTGAATTTACATTTTGATGCCTTCCAAATCTAAAGGTTGTTTGATGTACTGGATTCCTCTCAGTATACTCTTAAAAGGCGTTTAATCAGGGGCTATCTTTAAGTCCTTTGAGTAAGTAACATTGCCATTGTTGCCCAAATTGCATCTGAAAGATGCATGTGTAAGATTGTGAGTGGCTGAGGGAGAATAAAGTTAGGTTTGTATTATCAAGGGAAAACTGAAAAGATTGAGGCTGTATTTATTATATATTTTTGCTTAGAAATGTCTCTTCATTTAGTTTATTGAGAATATCTGTTCACCGTTGCAAAGTGTTAATTTTTTGATCGATATATGAATAAGTTACTTTCTGAGCATTTTGCTGCAACTGGCCTTGGTAGAAAAATATACAATTGAAAACATTCAATTAGTTCAGTTATTGTATCTGATTCTTTAAGAGAAGGATTTGTAATACAGCTGTTCTGCTTGGTTTTTCTCACCAAAATTCTTCTTAGGAATTACTAGAATAATTTAATGGCTCTTACTTGGACTTCATGTAGCTGTCAAAGCCAAAACTCTCCAAGCCAGAACATTCTTATCAGTACAGAAGAATTTGGAAACTCATTTGTAATGCAAATCACCCAGTCACATCGTCATTGTCAAATGCACTGGAGAACAAAATATTCCTATTGAACAAATTACTCACCAAGAATCACAGCAACAACGGTGAAGAGCACAAAGGCATTCCTCATTAAATAACTTTTAACATCGTCCTTTGTTATGCTCTGCACTTTTTTTTTTGCCAAAAGTGTACGTTTCCGGACTCCTTGTTGAATTCGTTCCATCCTACTTCCAGGTTTTGGATCTTCTCCGTTGCCTTTAGTCATTTATCTTGCTGAAAGCTTTCTTTTATAGTTAACTTCTGTGAGTATCCCTTCAGGAAAGTGGAGGACTCTTTTCGGTGGGAGGTATTGGAGAAACCTGCAAGACAAGAAGTATCAAATTTGCAGTCAGATTTTAGGGGAATTATTAGCTATATATTTACATAGAAGCAAATATTCTTCATAATTTCAGTAAAATTTATATTGTTCTAAGCAGTTTTTGATGCCAAACCTCAATGACTTTGAAAGTAGGATTATAAGGACTGATCAGATAAGTGTCCCATGTCTTCAGAGATTAACCTGAACTGCTGTCATGCTGTAAAACCCAGGAGTAACCTTTTTTTTTGTATTTGCTATTGATACATAAATGTAAAATCACTACAAATCATAGAAACTGATGGTATTATAATGTTTAAAACTATCTGTCAGGCTTTATTTTCTACTTTTTATCAAGCAATTAAAATCTAGCACACCTTCGCATTAACCATTGAAGATAAGTATTTTGCTCAAACTGGTAAATTTAAATTATTCTACATTTCAGATGTTTTCAATGATTGAATGCATTGGCTCAACTCCTTCTTTTCACATGGAAATGGCAGCAGCAATAGTTTATTTATCCCTCAACCACTATTTAGAAGATATGCCTTTGACAGCTTTATGTTGATAACATTCATCTTTTAGCTGTATAAACTACTCTGAGCACATCTGTGAAACATCAGAAGTAATATCCCACTTAACTTGTTGCTTCAGACTGTAATACCAGCTCACATTGCAGAGTAATGCTTGGTTTGTCCTGACAGCAATTACGAGCATATATCACAGAATCACAGACTAACTAGGTTGGAAGGGACACATCAGGATCATGCAGCCCAAATCCTGGACCTGTGCAGGACAACCCAAGAACCACACCACGTGTGACTTTAATAAATCACACTCTGAATCGACCTTAAAATGTTTCAATATTAACAGTTTTTCATTAAGGTACTACTTTTTATTTTAGGTTGTTTTGATGGCTGCTGGATATGTCTTTGCTTAATAATGGAGTGTCCTCAAAGGTATTTCCCAGACTGAGAATCCCTTTTTCTGAGGTCTTAGTTAATATTCACTGGCATGCTTTTTAAAAAGAAATTAGTAATGAATAAATGGATAAACTTAGCTGCTTGTGCTGAAATCTGTCTCTGTTTATATGCAGTTCAACTCTAACATCTCATTCTTAGTTTAGTGCCAAAACACCTTATTTTATTTTTTTAGGAAGCACTTAAAATGTTAATACACGGGGGTTTCAGCCAACACGTTTTAAACAAAATCGCATGTTGTAACAAGTATATTTTGGTGGATTTTGATCGTTACTTTTACCATATGTTTCAAGACCGGCACTTTAGCGCAATATCCTCCCTGAATTTTAACAGAATGATATAAACTTTGCCTCTTTAAGGAGTGGAAACATTCTGAGACCTAGCTAAATAGTTAAATTAGTAAGTGTTCTTCCGTGGAGAAGACTGCTGTGTGGAAGCAGGATTTGATTTTTTTTTTTCTTTCTTTTTTTTTTTTTTCCCTCCCAACCGATTAGTGGAAGCATTTTGGTGAAGGGAAAAAAAAAAAAAAAAAAAAAAGAAAAAAGAAGAAGAAGAAGAGAGACAGAGAGATCCTTCACAGTGCCTTTTCTTTCCAGGATGTTTAACGCAGCTAATCTGTCCTGTACAATTTACATCAAGATCGAGAGAGAATATGGGCGCAGCCAAAAGGATCATTGCATTAATTAATCGAGATACAAAGGCACGGAGCGAGAAATGAGTTCTGCCCGGTCCAACCCTCCCCGAAGGACAGGATGGGCTCACCTTGGCGGACCCTCCGTGCGCTCAGGAGCGCGGATGGAGCGGGCGCTGCCCGGCGGGGAGCGCGGAGCTGCGGAGCCGGGCGGGCGGCAGGGGGAAAGCTGACATCTGCATGTGCTCCGGAGAACGGCAACTTACTATCACTGTAACTTAAGGAAAGGGGAGGAGACTGCCAGCCCGGCAGCGCCGGAAAAAAAAAAAAAAAAAAAAAAAAAAAAAAAAAAAAAAAAAAAAAAAAAAAAAAAAAAAAAAAAAAGGGACAAAACCAACCCACTCCGAACCACGCACCAGCGGAGAGGGGAAAGCGGGGCTTCTGGAATATTGATTAGTCTTGGCACAGTGAAAGCAGGGTCACTTTCTTTGTTTTTCCTTTTAGACCACTTTCACGCTTTGTCAGTTCAGCTTCGTTAGAAATGCAAAATCAGGATCCGGGAAGAATTGAAGGATCGCACACACACAGAGCAGGGGAGGCTGGAGCGCTTCTTCATTTGGCATTCCAGGCCGGACATCTGAAAATCCTAAACATAATTATATAACACTATCCCTGTGATTTTTGAAATAAATTGTAAAATATTTGAGCATGCTACTTTGCTCTGAAAACAGGCATGGTGTGAAAGCTATCACGTATTTTCCAATTCTTAAACACAGCTATCCCAGATCCAGTCTTCCCAGGGTGGGAACCAGACATATCTTTCAGAAGCAACTGGAGCGTTATCAAGGAAAGAGAAAAACATGATCAGTTATAACTCTTTGTATGTTTCTTGTAGATATTTAAAATACATAGTAGGACTTGCCTCTTGTTTGGCAATTTAAACTCACTGATAGCAAGTCCCATTCAGCCTGTTTCAATAGCAGAGAATGAATGAGTGAAAGGAAAGGTATAAAATATCCACTTTTGAGAAATAAATGGCCTTCAGTTTTTCCAGCATTTCAAAGTATGCATTGTTGAGAAGGTATTTGTTGATGGGAGTCAGGGGAATTCCCAAAAAACCTTTCATTTTTAGAAAAACACTTTAATTTTAAGCATTGGTAAAGTCAGGTTAAAATATTCCATAATTATATTTCAGTGCATCTTGCACAGGATTTAAATTATTTTCTTATATGACAAATATTGTAAAATGAAACTTATATAATTTTATGATAAATATATAATTCATTTATATATATTCATCTTTAAAGATTTGTTTATAAATGTTGTTGACATTTAAATTATTTTCCTGTGAAATCATTTTACGTATACAGGAAAAAGACTTACGTATGATACACTCAAAGAATAGATAAATACAAAATAAAATTAAGAGCAGATTTACTTCCACTCAGAGTAATGGTTTTGCCAAAGGGTTTTCCAATTTAAATGTGATTCAAATAATGATGTATAATGTAGAGGAAAATAATCTAACAATCATTTCAAATTTGCTTATGATTAATGTAGGTTTGAGATTGATTTGTGTACCATGGAATCTTGATCTTTGGTGTCTAATGTAAGATAGAAACATCTAAATAAAGTTATTAATTTACTTTAAAAATTAAGAATAAACGTTGACAGCTTGTATTGCAAAGACAGAAACACGTGCTATGTTTTCTTGCACCTGGCATTTTAAATGTCTATCTCATTTTAATTTTTTGCAGTGCAGTTTTTAAATACTTTCACTATTTTTTCTGCAGACGTGGACTGACCTTTTAACTAACCTTTGCCCTCTAGCAATCTGCTTGTTTGATCTTTCTTTTTGGAGTATGGCTTGCTTTCTGCAAAACCTCCCAGATAGTTCTGCCCTCTGCTCATATGAATAGTAATGATCCACTTGACTTAATGGGACAGGGTCAGGCCCCGAGTGAGGGGATCCAAAAGCATGTCATCATTTAATGCTTTCATTAATACTGGAGCCTATGAGAAATGAGGATAATCCTGTGAGAGAATTAACTATTCAGTGAGACAAAATGAAAATAAACAATAATCAGTCGGACAGCTCAGCTTAACTTCAACAGTGATACTTTTATTATCTCTCAGAGAACAACAGATATCATTACACACTTCTTAGAGAAACAGAATATTAAGAGTTTTTATGGCAATATGCTCAAAATTTACTGTCTTTTTTCCTCTCATTTTCATCTTCTGACATTCATTTATTTTGAGTTTAACTTTCAAGAGCATTATCCTTTATATTATAAAACCTGATGAATTTTAGTTATCCCTGGATAGCAAAAAAAAGAGTAAAGTAAGTTCATAGCGTGGTGTCAGTCTGCAACATATGTAATTAAAATGCACTGGAATTTCCCTTTATATACACAATAGATTTAACTGATTTAGTATGCAGTATTTAATACTAAGACTAGGACAAATTTAAAATGTTATTGGTTATGTTCTTCTATTAGTAGTGTTTCCTGCAGTTTTAGTTACTAGGAAGAGCAATTTAGAAGTTAGACACATTGTAGATTTCAGATTGAATCAGTCAAGGCAAAGGATATACAAAAACATTGTTGTTTGTGGAGTAACCAGAGCGCAGCCATCAGTGCAACCACCAAATTTACATAGATGAAATTATCTCTTTGTGCTTCAGGGGGGTAGTTTTTTTCATAAAAATTGCCAAGGAACGACCTAAGGCCTGGATGATCCTGTCTGTGTTGATGTACTAGCACAGCACTCTAATCTGTGCTTTGGATTCCAGTTTCAGCCCTTCTCTGATAATGCCCCAGGTGGCTTGCAAAAGCACAGGGCAAGGGCTGGCTCTGACTTGGACCTCGTCCTCCCAAGCCAGCTGAAATCGTGTGCTGTGGCAAACCCCAGCACTGCTTGCTCGTGGCTGACAAAGTCTGTCAGTAAATGTACTTTGCACAGTATCTGAGTGCCTTTGTAAAATAAGTAAAGGTATTAGAGTGGAAGCTGCTGTTCCAACACAAAGTATTGTTATTTTCAGCTGACTAGAGCTATCAAACAAAAACCCAGGGAAGCCAGTTGTAGCAAATGCAAAAAGTGGAAATGAAGCAACAAATGGTACAATCCTTTAATTTCCCAGATAGCAATAAATGTGGCATGAGACTACATGGATCCCAGCTGAAATAAACTTTCAGCTTCAAAGTAACATAGGTTTCATATTAATAAGTCAGCACTATAAAGTAATACTGGCTGAATATCTGAAGTGTTGGAGTTTTAGTTAGAAGCTCAGTGAAACACTGTTGATAACATAATGATAAAACTGGAGTAAAATTCTTGTGAAAGAATATGTTTTTTCGTGGTAAATGGCATGACAATATGTTCCAGAC